AAGTCCAGTACAGTGGTCACGCAGCGGCCTGTGAGGCGTGGTGCGACCGCGTTGGCAAGCTTCCTCCTGACCTGCTGCATCTGACCTCCCCAAACGCCGTGCAAGTGATGCCCGTACAGCCCTGCTGGTTGGGCCCCTTGAAGCTCCAGGCGTGCTGGCACACGGTAGCGGCGCAGCGCTCGAGCGAAACCCACGATCTTCTTGGACATGGCCGCGTGCTTCTGGGATCTCGCTCGTCGCGTGGCCCGCCCGTGACGCCTGCCCCCTGCGAGGTCGGCGCCCAGGTAGGCAGCCTGGCTGGCCGCCTTCAGCTGGAAGCCACGGGCAGCGACTCGACGCACCACCGACCTCGCATCTGCCAGATGCGTGCACACAATTACAGACTTGGGTGAGACTTTCAACCCGTTAGCTGTGAGCGCTTGACATGTGTCCACAATACAAGCCACTAACTGCTTCCTAACAGAACATCGAGATCCTTTTGCCGTCTGACTGAAATCGTCCACCCATAAGCGATGAGACATATTGACATGGCAGGTCGTGATGTGCTGAAGAATGTGGAAGGTGGTGCATTTCCCGAACCGTGTGCCCGACCTCAGCCCCTGCACGATGGAGCGCGTGGGGCTGAACGGGAACCCGTAAGCCCCTCCTTGCCTGACACATCTAGCCGCCATACATTGCTGAAGTTCAAGCCCTAATATCTCAGGTGGAAACTCCAGTCGAAGGGCAGCCTTGGCCATACGATACCATCCCACAGAATCGTAGAAACTTGCAATATCGATCATCCCATTGCCGATGGAGGCCCCGAGTCGAACTGCAAGCTCTTCGTCAACTGACCGAAGAAAAACTTCACGCAGCGCAGCGTTGCCGCGCACCGCGGCATCCCAGTGCGCCTCGCACTGGTCCGTCCACGCGCGCACGTGCTCCTCGCGGGCCTGGGACCACGTGCGGGCCAAATGTGACAGAAGGCCTATCACGCGGTCCCCTGCCACCTTCTTGGGCAGTAGGGTGCCCACCGTGAGGAGCACTTGGTGAGGCCACACCTGGTGTTGCTCGCAGAGGGTGAGGATGCCCGCCAGCTCGCTGATGGCCGCGTCGGGCAGCCTGTCGTAGTCCAGGCAGCACGTCCTATCGACCCCCATGGCAGATGACGGTTTCATCCGTCGCAGGGCCGCTCGGATATCTGCTACCTCCAGCGGTGCCAACGCCTCCCCTCTTACTCGCTCACGAATCTCGTCGAACACCTCAACGAGCAGATCGAAGTCGTCTGACTCGGGACCCCATAGCTGCTGCCAGTGCTGGCTCTTGCTGTCGAGGATGTCGCGAGGGTGCACCAGCGTCGTCGGCCCCACCTCGAGCGTGTCAGAGGGAATAGGTGTCTCCTTGATTGCTCGATGTAACGCGCCAACAGCTGGTGCAGACTCTGACCATTCCCGAAATTCGATGAGCGATCTCTGGATCGCTCTCTGCTGGGCCCGCCTAGCCAAGCGTACCGTGAACTCGACAAGCTTCGTGAAACTGTCGTCGTCGAACGTGGTGATGCTGTCGAGCTGCCGTCGCCACTGTGCCCACTTGTAAGGATCACCTCGCCGCAAGACTCGGTGTGCCTCGTCAGGACACTGCAGGCCTAAACTCTTGAGCGCTGTCACCAATATCTGAACCTGCTTGTCACCGTTTTGCCGCCGACGGTGACTCTGGAGTGAAAGTAAAATGTTGGAAACTCGGGTCCACCAGCCTGCAACTCGGTCGCGAAGTGGAGTGACTCTCTGCGGCTTGGACTGGTGGACCTCGCACACTCGAAATTGCGCTGCCTGCCCTCTGCTGACGAGAGGTTCAGCTTGGCCGTGGTGCGTGTGGATGGCACTCTCGACCGATCTTATCCAACTGCAATATAAGGAACTGATGTGTGGAGAAGCGGCCGAAAGGGATCCGAGCCGAAAAGCTACGGACGACGCAACGGCAGGTGCAGGGAGGTTAGACGAGCTCGGGGAGAACCCGATTTTCTTCCTGGCCTGGATCCATTCGTCGTGACTGATGGCGAAACTGGCGGAGCCTAGGGTGTCAGGGGGCTCTGAGCTCACCGATTCAGCTTGGACCTGATTCAGTTGGCGACCCCCAGGCTGGGCGGGGCTCTCAGAAGGCTCACTAGGGGTTGAATTAACACAAGCTGGCTCGGATGACTGAGGCTGACTACGCTCGTGCTGCTGCTGGCCCACAAAGAGAGGCGGGGCGGCGGGCTCGGGAGTGCCGAAGTTGGGCTCGTTGGCCCAAGGGTCGTAGTCAAAGTCCTCGCCCAGAAAGTCGCCCTCGTCGAGCGATCTGTGGGACGCGACCTCGCCTTCGGAAACTCCCTCCCCCTCGCTCTGGCTCTCAACCTTTTCAATCGCAAGAGCCTCGCCAAACCACTCCTGAATTCGAGCATTGCGCTTCTCGAGCGTCAACTTCTTAAAGCTGTCTCGCTTGGCTTTGCTGATGCTTGACTTCGAGCCTTCGATCGCTTGCTGCCCCGGCCTAGCCACTTTGGGAAACCTGGGAGCGAGTTCCAAAATTCTGGTGAAGAGCTGATTGGCTTCTCCTACGAGGTCTACATGGAGGCCTATGTGGGGACGCCACGGCACATCACACACAGCACGCACAGCGCGGACATAGGGTCGCGCGGCAGCGCTGACAACTAAATAATCTAGGTGCGAAGGTTTGCTATCCCCCCCAGGGGTACAAGTGAAATCGGCTTCGCAACAAAGGACCTGGCCTCCTACCCTGTCTAGGAAACCAGTCCGAGCTAACGAGCCCGGGGTGAAATTCCAATCGGCGGCAACGATCCAGGGGAGTTGGAGCGAGGAGAGGAGGGAAGCAAGCTTCCTAAACCTGGGAACATTCTGATCACGCATGCCGATAGACGAGTGACCATAGAACGTGAGCACGACTACAGAGTATCCTTTTAGCTCAAGCACTACCGGACAAAAACCGTCGAAAGCATTGCCTCGCTCGGCCTTGAGTCCTGGAGCTGCCCTCGCCTCATCCAGCACTTGGGCTGGACGATGTCGTGCACACAAGAAGATCTCTCCTCCCTCATTCGAAGTTGGATCAGCGTTGCTAAACCATTTACTCTTGGGTCTGGCTGGATTCGCAAAAAACTTGAGTGCTGACTCGCGAGCTTTCTTTTTCCAGCGCTGCATCTGCGAAGCCCCCACGTGGGACTCACACAGGCCGATGTACGTGTAGGTCTGCATCAACGTGCCCACGACATGCCCCCATGCTTTGTCGCCCATGCACGTGATATTCGAAAAGAACATAGCTGTAGTTGCGCTGCTCGTGGTTGTAGTACAACCTGCAGCTCCCGATGAAGGTGTAGACGGAGACGGGCCAGAGGGCGGAGCGGAAGTAGAAGAGGTAGAGGAAGAACCAGTAGACGCACTGGTCGAACCCGTCGTCGTGGCCGTAGGAGGTCCCGACGACACACTCGTGGAAGTACCTAGTCACGAGTTGGCAGCCTGCGTCTGCCCAACTCCCTTGCCCGTGGTCTGGCCGCCCTTGCCGTTGGTCACTGCCTCTGCCGCCTCGAAGCGGGCGCGTGACAGCTTGTCAGCCTCCTGCTTGATGGCCTCCTCCTTCACGGCGGCCTCGCGGACAGCGGCAGCACCTGGTGCCTCGCCACCCGCGTCGGCAGCAGAGCCCGTGGCTCCCGCCGCCTCGGCCTCCGAGGGTGGAGGGACCCCGCCGCCCTCAGCGGCTTGGCCGTCCTGCGCCTTGCGTTTCTTCTTCATGTGCTCCGCGACCTCCTCCTGCGCCGACTTCACCTTGTCGACGAAGGCCTGCCACTGGCTGTTGCGCTGCTCCAGCGTCTGCTGGTAGTGCTTCAGCTCTTGCTGCAGCTCGCGAAACTTCTGCTTGTCCGCCTCCTCGCAGTCCCACGACTCGAAGGAGTCGAACACGTCCATGTTCATCTGGATGCCGAAGACCGACGGCGTGCCCTCGGCAGCTGGAGCGATCACCACCTGGGGTTTCACTCCGACCGCCTGCGCCAGCGCCTCCGTCGCCGCCGTCTTGGCCGCCGCCGCGCGCGCGAGCTCGAGGGCTGCCTCGCGCTCCTTGCACTCGGCGGCGGCCAATTGCTTTCTCAATCTGACAACTTGACTAATCATCTGCTCGTGCCTGTTGTTGGCAGCCTTCCACGCTCCATCCGCTTTCTTCACTGCGTCGACCTCGCTGGATGAGCCGCTCTTGGTGGCGTCCTGCTCCGCGAGGCGCTCGCTCTGCTGCTTCAGGATGGCGTGCAGCTCTTTGTTGGCCGTGGAAGCTGCCATCGCCTGCTGCAGGATGGTCACAAGCTCCTTGTTGCCTGCGCCGCCTGCTGCAGAGCCTCGCCGCCCCCTCGGAGTGCCTGGACTCGAGGAGGGCTGCTCGTCCTCGAAAGTGACCGACTTGGGCCTCTCGGCGGAACGAGAGCGAGGCCGAAAGATCTTGACTTGTCGACCACACTGTCCACAGCGGTTGCCACATAGCGCCAGCTTGTCGTTGTACTCGTCCCGCTTGCAGAACTTGCACCGACTCCAGGGCCGCGAAAAAGTCTGTGGCGCCATGCTATGACAGTAGGAGATGCCCAGCTTTCGTGGGCGAGAACTGAATGTGAGGGTAAGACAGATTCTCGCACTCCCCCAAGCCCCCCGTGAAGGGACTGGGCAGGTTCAAGCACGGGCCTTCACTCGGGGGTGAAGGACTTGGTGCTCGAGCCTATATGGCTTGAGGGAGGAGGAGGAGGAGGAGGAGGAGGAGGAGGAGGAGGAGGAGGAGGAGGAGGAGGAGGAGGAGGAGGAGGAGGAGGGTGGAGGAGGAGGAGGAGGAGGAGGAGGAGGAGGTAGGAGGAGGAGGAGGAGGAGGAGGAGGAGGAGGAGGAGGAGGAGGAGGAGGAGGAGAGAGGAGGAGGAGGAGGAGGGAGGAGGCGGAGGAGGGAGGAGGAGGGAGGATGGTGGAGGAGGAGGAGCAGTGCAGGGAGCCTCCGCCAGGCGCTGGCGCCGCCGCCCGCCTCCGGCCCGCCTGCGCCCTGTTCGTGCTGCACCAGGCCGCGCCCTGCGACGCTTGGGGCGTGGGCGCCGATGCAGCGGCCGATGGTTTTTGTTCGAGAGTTTCCTTCTCCTCCTCCTCCTCCTCCTCCTCCTCCGCCTCCTCCTCCCTCTTTCTACCTCCTCACTCCTCCCTCCTCACTCCTCCCTCCTCCCTCCTCCTCCTCCCCCTCCTCCTTCTCCTCCTCCTTATCTCCTTGATGCGGAGGAGGAGGGGGAGGCAGAGAAGGGTAGAGCGTGCAAGGTCGGAGCAGTGTCTGCGGGCGGGCAGCGGGTGCCGTCTGCGGCCGCCCCCGGCGGGCCACTACGGCCCGACGGGTGAGAGGGAGATCGGCGACGCGTAAGAGCGACGCTTTGGCGGAGTGACCTCCCGGGCGGGTTCCCCCGCGGCACTTCAAGCATGCGGGCTTGGACGTGCCCCCTGTACCCACCCCCCGCGGAAGCGTAGAGCCGCGCACCAAGGGTCTCTCTTGCCCAGGGTCACTCCTGCGTGCAGGCGGGAAGACGGAGAAGCGAGCAAGGCAGCAGACGGCGAGCGCGCAGGGGCGAGCCCAGGGCAGGCGGGACACAGCAAGAGGACAGGTGAGCCAGGCGGGGAGGGACATGAGCAAAACAGCGAGCAGGCGGGCGGGAGGGCAAGCAGGCAGCGGGGTCGAGGTTCCCTTGCGTTTTTTTGCATTCGTTTGGAGAGTCAGGGATAGCTTGGTTTCTGCGTGCCTCCATCAT